CTTGTAATTGGAATGCCAATTGCTAGGCATACGAAACAGGATAGTATGGGTTGAAATCTTACAAAAAATGATTGATACACAGTAAAATCTGGATATGTTTTGGAATGCAACACTCACTCTTTGCACTCTATACCACAAGCTATGGACCCAATGTAAGTGGGTTACAAGCACATTTGTGGACAATCAAATGCCCACCAAAGATGAAATATTTTTTATGGTAAGTTATTTCCGGTTGTTTACCGGTTAGAGACCGAACAGAAATCAATTAATCATATATTGTTTGAATGCCCATCAGCTGCTCAAGTATGGGCTTTATCAAGCATTCCTACACCATTCCTTGGTTTCCCAACAGGGGCGCTCTTTTGTAATATGACACACTTGTTCTGGCATTTGCCGAACCACGAAGATATGACGATTTATCCATGGTTACTATGGTACATTTGGAAAATGCAGAACGATGAGGTTTTCTCGAATATTGATCGTAGCCCACAAGAGATTGTAAGGCTAGCAATATCAGAGTCTAATGGCTGGGAGGAAGCACAAGTGGATATTCTGGAGATAACTCCATTAATAGTTCAGGATACGACTGTCACTAGACGTGGTTTGACATGTCAAACCGATGGATCTTGGAAACAAACCAGTCCAAACACAGGATTGGGATGGTTCTGTCAAAGAAATGAGGTGACGGAAACATTATTAGGTGCAAAGAATGAAGTATCTCACCTCTACATTCAGAACTAGAAGCTATGATTTGGGCAATGCACTGCATGCTTGATGCAAGAAAATTGAAGATGATTTTTCTCTCAAAATATTCCGATTTGGTGAAGATGGTGTCAAATCTAACAGAGTGGCCAGCTTTCTTGTTACATTTAAAGGAATACGAGACCAACAGAAGAGAGTTCGTTTTCTTCTCAATATCACATATTCCATGCTCGTAGAACATAAAGACGAACAAATTAGCATAAGATATTCGGACATGCCTTCATTATCTTAATTATATAAATTTAATTCTACCGACTTAATTTACTAAAACAGTTTAAAAAATTGAGGCTGCTGACAACAACAAGAAAGTGTAACTAAAAGTTAATAGTAAATAAAATTCTCATACAAAACGCAGATCAACCAGTAGTTAAAAATATAAAATAACTTTTTTTGTAAAGCAGAAATAAAATATCAAAACGCTACACGAAATAAAATAGATAGCATTACTTATAATGCTCTCATCCATGTTATTTTATTTTTTTGAAAAACAATTGCTCATCTATGTATATAAAATTAAGTAATTAACTGACCAAATTATGGTGGCTATTTGAAACTACATAGAATTTAATTTTCTGTAAACAGCGATGGATCGCTATTAATCCATGGTACATTTTTTTTTTGGTAAGGATTAATCCATGTACATTTGCTACACTTTAATATATTTGCTACAGAAAAGCTAAAATAGATAGGACATTTATGTATTTTTTTGAAAAACAAATTCTCATCTATGTATATAAAATTAAGTAATTAACTCGCTAAATTATGGTGGCTATTTGAAGGTACATAGAATTCAGTTATCTGTAAACAGCGATGGATCGCTATTAATCCATGGTACATTTTTTTTTGGTAAGGATTAATCCATGGTACATTTGCTACACTTTAATATATTAGCTACAGAAAAGCTAAAATAGTAAATATAAAACTGAGATTTTGTTTTAAACAATGCATTATATATATAAAGTACCATTCACTGTGAAACAGAAATAAAGTGTCAAAACACTGTAAGAAATAAGGTAGATATAACACACTTATAAAGATCTCATCCATGTTATTATTATATTTTTTTTAGAAAAAGATCGCATCCATGCATATAAAATTAAGTAATTAACTCACTAAATGATGGTGGCTATTTGAAATTTTATTTAATATAGTTAAATTTTTTTCAGAAGTAATTTTGATATGGTGTTATGTGTCACTTTAAAAATTGATATGTATCACTTTTTTTTCTGATGAATTTTCTTTCATCTAACAAATATAAAAACAAATCTTTGGTTTTTATTTTCTCCACATAATTTTCTTTCATTCAATAAACAAAACCGAAAATCAAATCACCTAATGAAGTACAAATCTTATAAAATATAGTAAGACCATGTGCCATTTTTTTTTCTTTTTTTATATTTACTAGATTCTCTTTCATTGGACAAACACAAAAACAACGTTTCAGTTTTTTGCCATTCTTCACACGATTTTGTTTCACTATGCCTCGTACTTCACATTATTTTAAAAGATTTTGTAACTTTTAGAGCTGACTATGGCATTGTTTTTACAAAAAAAAAAAAAATTATTTATTTATGTTTTCTTTGTAGTCTTATGAATTGTTTGTTTTCGTGAATTTTTTTTTATATTAATGATTCACTCCTTTCTTTTATACTCTATTGAACTTCAAACCACCACCGTTATGAAATTTAAATTCTACTCGCTGTGACTTTCTTTCCGAACACCCCTGCGTGCTTTCTCAAAATAGTGGCAGTTTCACTCCACTAACAAAATCAAATCTCATTCTTTAAAGATATGTTTGTTTCACCAACTTAATACATTTTTTAAAAAAATTTATACATATGTACAACTTAGAAACAAATATTTACCGATAAAATATTACCAATAAATACAATAAGATAGTAAAATTTAAATAATTAATATATCACAAATCTCCACGATGAGTGAATCTTATTTCCTAGTTACATACAGAATTTAGTTCTCTTTAAACAGCGATGAATCCCTATTAATCCATGGCAGGGGCGGACGCACATTGAGAGTTTGGTAGCACGTGCCCCATACTCATTTTTGATTTTTTTTTATATACAATAGTTAAACTGTTAAACATAACCAAGTTTTTATTTACCCATTTGTTTAGATACAGTTAAAAGGCAGGTTCAAAATTAAAAGTCTATCTGAAATTATAAATAAATGAAAAATAATGATATTGTTTAGCTTTTTTACTTTTTGACTTAGCAGCCATTTTAATTACTGCTTTAGAGCAAGCCTAATAAAAATACTATTAGTGTGAATCTTATTGATTAATTATAATATTTTGTATACTTTATGTATATAAGATATTTTATAGTATTTTATTATTTTTAGAGCATACAACAGAGATATTTTTGATGGGTGTTTTGTATATATATATTTTAATAAATTTAAGTAAAATCTTTTGTTAAAAACTTTTAAAATATAATACATTTTCAAAAATATAATACATGAAAATGTATAAATCATAGAAATATAATTCAGAAACTGGAATTTAGACTCTGTGTCTTAATTTAGACACTGTGTTTTAATTTAGACATTGTGTCTTAATTTAGACACTCGTCTAAAATATAAGACATTATTCATCATTTTTTAATTTTATTTTATTATTAAGAATATTTCATTAGACACTCAAAGATCACCATTGGAGTTGGTCTTATGTTTCGAGAGATATTTCTCAGCAATAAAGATTGTGAACACTACCTTACGTTATAAATGAGTGATCAGTTTTTATATAATTATCTAGTTTGTCTTATTAAAAAATAACTATTCGATAATGTGAAAAATTAAGTAGTGATAAAAAATTTTCAGAATATGAAAAATCGTAGGGTAATTTTATAGGAATTTTTTAATTTTTAATTTTTTTTGGTTATATTTTTTTGTTATTTATACTTTATTTTTATAATTTATTTATTAATTAAAATATCAAATATGTGCTCCATGCTAAATAAATTTCTGCGTCCGCCCCTGATCCATGATACATTTGCTACACTTTAACATATTAACTACATAAAAATATTTAAGTTTGATGTAATTGATGATGAATATTGCCATAAACAAGAAAAAAACTATAGCTAAAATATATGTATTTTCCATCCATGAAAAAAGATCTCATCCATGTTATTTTATTTTTTGAAATGAATCCATTATGAATCTAAATTATTACATTCCAATTCCTTACTAATATTAACGAAAATCCCGAACAGGATCAAGAAAATCTCATCCATGTATATAGTTAACTCACTAAATGATGGTGGCTATATATTTGAAATTACATAGAGTTTAGTTTTCTTTGATCAGCGATGAATCCCTATTAAAATATGGTACATTTGCCACACTTTAATATAGTACCTACAGAAAAGCATTAAAATATGATAAAATTGATGATAATATTGTCATAAACAAGTAAACAATATCTATAGTCAAAATATTCGTATATTCCATCGCAAATCACTACAAGAGGTGTAACGTTTCCGGCCACTTATTTGACCTCACATGCACTTCTACACTACAATATGAAAAAAATGATGATGAGACTGGATTTGTGTTAGTTAATCAAACTTCAACCTTGTAATCCTCAAAATTAATCACGTCCACGTTAAGAACCATACAAACTGAATTGTCGATCTCAGATTTTGATGCAACCAATAAATCAACAAAAATCGGCTATTATATCACCAGTCACTACAGGAAGTATCGACTATTCCGATGACAAAAATGTTGGTGATCTGTTGGAAACGATTTAATATGTTTTAAAAGATATTAGAGCGTTGAAAATCAAGATTCATCAGTAAGTTACTGAATTTACCCATGAAAAGAGTAATCTAAAATGCATCAGTGGCCTTAATCCCAAGCATTTGTTAATACCTTATAATATGGTGTAAAATTATCTTTAAATAAAATAGATTCTTTTTATTTTGGGTCAGAAAAAGAAGAGATTAATTTAAGTTCACTAAGTTACAAGCACAAGACAGGAAGCATCTTCGTAAAGTCTTAAATGGTTTCTCGTCTATATTTTATGTCCAGGACACGTTTCTTTTGTTTCAAAAATCATACATTACAATTTTTACGTTAAATAGTGGGAAGAATTATTGATCCCACCGACCAAAGCCATATTTTAAAACGAATACAGCGCGGAGTAGGTGGCTAATTATACAGAAAACTATTTTCATATATTTAGTTTATTAAAATAAAATTACATCGTGCTCTAACAAGTAGAAGCACAATGAATGTTAGTATAAATATGCATACAAACATGCAAAGAATATCACAGTTATCATCACAAATTAACTATTAAACAAGAAAATAAGAGTGAGTGAAGAGAAAGAGAGATCAAGCATGTCTACTAATCCAGAATGGATCATGATTGGAGGAGAAGGTCCTGAGAGTTACAACCAGCATTCCTCATATCAGGTTTGTAGTTAAAAGATTTTTAAACATTATGAGCTCTGATACATATATGTAAGTATGTATGTATGTATCAACGATCTCTTCTTTAATCATACTTTATAGAGAGCGTTGTTGGAAGCCGCAAAAGAAAAGATGAACGAGGTAATCTCAGCCAAACTCAGCCTGGACTTGATCTCTGATCGCTTCATTGTAGCGGACTTCGGCTGTGCGAGTGGACCTAACACTTTTGTGGCAGTCCAAAACATAATAGATGCTGTCGAAGTCAAGTACCGCAAAGAAACCGGACAAAACCCCACCGATAACATCGAGTTCCAAGTCCTCTTCAACGATTTTACCACCAACGATTTCAACACTCTCTTCCAAGCTCTTCCTCCGGGGAGAAAATACTATAGCGCTGGGGTTCCAGGATCCTTCTTCGAACGTGTTCTTCCTAAGCATAGCTTCCACATAGGAGTTATCAATTACGCATTCCATTTCACCTCCAGAATCCCCAAAGGGATCACGGACCGCGACTCTCCTTCGTGGAACCGTGACATGCACTGCACTGGCTTCAACGAGGCGGTCAAGAAAGCATATTCTGATCAGTACTCGGCTGACACCAAGATTCTACTAGACGCTAGAGCTGATGAGGTTGTCCCCGGAGGATTGATGTTGCTTTTCGGGTCGTGTCTAAGAGACGGAGTCAAGATGTCCGAGACCTCTAAAGGAATAGTGATGGATTTCATTGGAGATTCTTTGAATGATCTTGTTCAACAGGTACATTTATATAAGTCTTGATCTTTAGCTAATTGTCTATAGTTACATAACTAACATAATCTTCCACTGTTTTAAAAAAAGGGTGTCATCGAGCAAGATAAGGTGGACTCTTTCAGTACTCCACTCTACATTGCCGAAGAAAGTGAGTTAAGGCAAATCATAAAAGAGAACGGGAAGTTCACAATCGAGGCTTTTGAGGATATCATTCACCCAAATGGGGAGTTTCCTTTAGATCCCAAGATCTTGGCCGTCTCCTTTAGGGCCTCCTTTGGAGCCTTCCTATCCGCACATTTTGGAGTTGATGCAATGAGGAAAGCCTTTGAGCTCGTCGAGGTCAAGGCACGAGAAGATTTTCCTCGCATCCAAAACGCCAAACCCGGTATGCAGTACCTCATCGTGCTGCGCAAGAACTGATGATGATCCAAAATATATGTATCATTATGATATTTTAATCTTAATTCGTGCTTCCGTTTGTTGTTCTCTTTCAAGAACCTATGGTGTTTTGTCTTCTAATTTCCCATGTTTTAGCGTGTTTGTATTATCCCCCAGTCCCACAAATGAATAAATGTCTATATGTACGGTTTCATGATTTTTTACCATATAGACTTTCAAGCGCAGATTCGAATATATGGAATGGCGAAAGTTATTCCATATGTTAATTTGAATTTCAAATATTAACGATAAAAGTACATATAACTTCTATAAATTAGGTAAATAAAAATGTAAATAATAAATTTATCATATATATCCATAAATATTAGTATATTCAAATCTCCATTCAGAAATATAGAGAAATAGCAAGTTTTGCTAAACTCTGCTACAGAATTTGCAGATCGAGCAATGAAACTAAACGATAAGAAGGATAAGAGAAGAGCAAGGCAACGAATATCGTCCAGAATGCCTGTAATCTCTATCAATTCTGATCCCGCAATGAGGGTGGTGATGAGGACTTCCAAATCCGATTGAAGGTGAAGCTCTGGGATATAGGCCGAGATGGCTTCTCGAAGAGCGCCTAGGACCACCAGAGCTTCTGCAACCAAGGCCGAGGAGATAAAACGTCTTGACGCCGAGTTTTCCAGTACCGTGGATCCAAGGGGTCAATTATAATCTAGCCCACGCCCCCTAATTTTGACTTTGCGATCAACGCTCCATTTGTACAGCAGATTGAGGCTGTGGGGAGAGGAGGGGGGCTTCACGGATCTTAGGGGTTTCGTTGGAGTATGGTCAATTGATTGATTAGCCGCTTGCCACAGTTTTGCTTCCAATCAATTGACCATCTCCAACGAGATCGGGACCTAAGAAATCTTTACCTTTGAAGTTCAGGTTGTTTTTCGATGTCCAGAGGTACCAGAGGATCCATGGGTACAATTGAGCTTCCACCAATCTCGAGGATGGGATATTCTTGGAGTTGTAGAGGGCACGGAAAAAGCTTATAGAGTCTAAACCCGTCAGAAAGTAGCCTGGATTCGGAGAAATTGGGGTTAGCTGCCAAACCGATTGAGTGTAAGGGCAGCCGAACCAAATATGTGACATAGACTCCTGATTCCCACATCTAGGGCAGTTGGCATTGGCATCAATTCCTCGCCAGATGAGATTCACTCCTACTGGTAGGGCTTCATTCGTTGCTCTCCATAGATGATGCTTTAATTTCAGAGATGTGTGCAAATTCCAGATATATTGGTATCAACCAAACTCTGCGTTTCTTATCAGATTATATCGTTTTTATAGGTTGTAGCCTGTTTTTGTTGAGAAGTTTCCTAATTTTTTTGCAGGTAGTCATACCAGAGCGTCTGCTGACTTCTTTGAACTCGGGATGAGTTGTCTGATGGTTTGCACTCTTAAATTAAGCTTCTTTAGCATTGGTTTGAATGAAGGTGAAATCATATTTATTAGTGAGTGTCTATGATTTTCTAACAGATTTCTGGTAGATAACAATTATAGTTGTGAAGGATTTCCAATAGATTCGTTGGAAAAGTTATATGTTTTATTATTATATTTTTTTTTTGTTAAAAAGATGAGATCCGAATTAAGTTACATAGACTTTCAATTCAAAACCAATTGGTAATTAGTGAATTGACTCGTGTTTATATATTAGTTAGAATTCTTTTCAATTTCTGATGTAGTATATATTTTCTAATATACGCTCTATTGAGACAATGGTTAACTTTGGCCATTAATTTTGATATATTTGGGCAATAATCTACGTACCATCTTTGCATTATATATCAATTATGAATCGGATTGAATTATTTGAATTGGAGTTTTAATACCATGTTAAATTCATAAGCTTTTAACATAAAATCAATTGATAATAAGTGAATTAGCTCATATTTCTTATATACTCCCTCCATTTCATAATAAGTGTCATTTGGAGAAAATATATCTGTATTGTAATTGGATGTATCTGAATGTGTTTTAAGTTTAATACATCCAGATACATTGTATATACATTTTCTCCAAATGACACTTATTATGAAACAGAGGAAGTATTATTTAGGATCTGTTTCAACCTCACTGATATATTTCCTAATAATCCGTTTGGGCCAATGTCCGAATCTCCCCCTCCCTTGATTTTGAAAACAGTGTTTGAGATGGCAAAACGATTATCTCTATTAAATGTAAATGAATAAAAGAAGTTATCTTTATTTATATGAAAAAGAGATTAATTTAAGTGTAGTGCTTATTTACAAGCAAAGACAGGAAGCATCTTCAACAAATATTACAAAACATTTTCGTTAATAGTTTATGTCCTGCAGGCACGTTTATTTTGTTTCTAAGAAATATACATTACGGTTGTTATTGGGAGGAATAATTAATCCCAACGACCAAAGCCATATCTTAAAACGAGTACAGCGCGGAGTAGGTGGTATATATATATATATATATATATATATTACACAGAGAAACCATTTTCATATATTTAATTTTTCTTAAAACGAGTACAGCGCGGAGTAGGTGGAAGAAACCATTTTCATATATTTAATTTAGTGCTGTAAGAAAAATCATATATTAAATTTAAATCCCATTATGCTATGTTAATTAACAAGGAGAAAGCACAAAGAATGTTAGCATAAATATGCATACCAACATGCTTAGAATATCACAGTTCTCATCACAAATTAACTATTAAACCATTTTAGCAAAAAAAAACTAACAAACAAGAAAAGAAGAGTGTGAAAAGAGAAAGAGAGATCAAGCATGTCTACTGCTCCAGAATGGATCATGGTTGGAGGAGAAGGTCCTGAGAGTTACAACCAGCATTCCTCATATCAGGTTTGTATGTATATAATTTTAATCCCTACCTGTGATCTTAATTATAATCTAGATATATATATATATATATATATATAACAATCTCATCTTTGATTTGGTTTTTACAGAGAGCGTTGTTGGAAGCCGCAAAAGAAAAGATGGACGAGGCAATCTCAGCCAAGCTTAGCCTTGACTTGATCTCTGATCGTTTCAGCGTAGCGGATTTTGGCTGTGCGAGTGGACCTAACACTTTTGTGGCAGTTCAAAACATAATAGATGCTGTCGAAGACAAATACCGTAGAAAAACAGGACAAAATCTGTCGGATAACATAGACTTCCAAGTCCTCTTCAACGATTTTACCACCAACGATTTCAACACTCTCTTCCAGGCACTTCCTCCGGGGAGAAAATACTATAGCGCTGGGGTTCCGGGATCTTTCTTTGAACGCGTTCTTCCTAAGCAGAGTTTCCACATAGGAGTCATCAATTACGCATTTCATTTCACCTCAAAAATCCCTAAAGAGATCACAGACCGCAACTCTCCCTCGTGGAACCGAGACATGCACTGCACCGGGTTCAACCAAGCGGTCAAGAAAGCATATCTTGATCAGTACTCGGCTGACACCAAGAATCTACTAGACGCTAGGGCTGAAGAGCTAGTCCCCAGGGGATTGATGTTGATTTTGGGATCGTGTTTAAGAGACGGTGTTAAGATGTCCGAGACCTCTAAAGGAATAGTGATGGATTTCATTGGAGATTCTTTGAATGAACTTGCCCAACAGGTACATATATATATATATATATATATTTATACTTTTTTTTTTGTTTGGACAAACATTTATACTTTTTCTTTATCATTACCTAATAGCCGACAACTACATAACTAACATCATTTCCCATTTTTGTTTTTTATTAAAAAAAAAAGGGTGTCATCGAGCAATACAAGGTGGACTCTTTCAGTACTCCACTCTTCCTTGCGGAAGAATGTGAGTTGAGGCAAATTATAAAAGAGAACGGAAAATTCACAATCGAGGCTTTTGAGGATATCATTCACCCATACGTGGAGTTTCCAATAGACCCTAAGATCATGGCCGTCTCCACCAAGGCTAGCTTTGGAGCATTTCTAACTGCACATTTTGGAGCAGACGCAATGAGGAAAGTCTTTGAACTCGTGGAAGTCAAGATACGAGAAGACTTGTCCCGCGTCCAGAATGCCAAACCCGGAATGCAGTATCTCATCGTGCTTCGCAAGAACTAGTAATCCAAATATAATCGATTAATTTTCAATGTTAATTTGTTTTTTTTTTCATTGTTGTTTCTATTCTTTCGTCTCATGTTGTTTTATCTTCTTGATCTTATCGTCTTTGTCTTAGCGTGTTTGTATTCTCACCAATCCTACAAACAAATAAATGTTTGTACATGTGGATTGTTAAGAACGTCGGGCCATCGGACGGTTATCAATAATATTTATACTCTATCGTAAATTTTGTTGCAATAGTAAAGTCAAATCGCTAGAAAATATATCACTATATTCGTGCATTTCCATCGTAGCATGCATAACCATCTTCATCGTTAATTTTTTTTTGTGAATAGACTAGTGATTTACATCTATCAAACATTCAAACTCCCGGTAAAAAATAAAATTAAAATCACCCATCCTCATAAGTGTAACATGTGTTACATAAAGAGAAACAAGTAATTGTGCTAGCCAACATAAATCAACTTGACGAATCAATAAAAGGATTTTATAAAAAAAAATAAAAAAAAAGGACCAACACACTTTCTTCATTGTCTTTATCAACCTTCACTATCTGTCAAAAATTATGATCGGTCGTCTCCGATCAAATCAACACACCATGGTCATCATGACATCATAACAAACTTCATTGTCATGGATATAGCTCCAGAAATGTTTGACTACGAAGGGTCGTAAGCATATAAATTTGTTCATTAAATTTGGACGAAACTTATAACATCATCGTTTAAACACTTCATTGAGAATAGTCATAACATCATGGAAAAAAAAACTAATGTTAACACGACAAAAAACATATGCAAAAATGGCATTAGGAGTCATGAAATCCTAATTAGGGTGAGAGAGAGAAAGAAGATAGTCGAAAAAAAAAAGCACATAAGTTGGGGTTAGAAATAGGAAAATTAAAATCCTAATATGACTTGCGGGGAAGATATTTGGGAGTGGAGTCCTAATTTGGTTTCCTCTATTTGAAAATTTGTCCAAAACGGTCTGAGAAATTATTGACGATCCAATTTTTGACAATTACAGAGATGAAGATAAAACCGAAGATGCATAATATAGTAATTATGATTCCATCGACCTTCAAAGTATAAAGGTGATGAGACTATTTGTGGTAGGTTAATAAAACTTCCTTAAGATGACCTGGTAATTCACAAAATTATATTTTGATCTGCGCGTTGCACGTATTTATTTATTAAATTAATTTTAAATTTTATATTACTATTATGTATATGTTTGTTCTATATAATAAAATATTAGGAGGATTACTAGAATACCTTTTTAAATAGGAGAGTTAGCTAAAATAACTGAAATTTTTTTTATTACTGAACTAACTTAGCGTACTGATTATGTCCTTCGAGCCTTTGATAACAAAAACGATATTTACGATTGTGCCATACTTTTCCTTTGCCATGTCAGCGAGTTGTTTGACGGTACACTGTTTCGTTTGGTCAACGGCTGGTAGATTTGTTTTTCGCCGGTAGATTTGTTTTGTGTGGTAGACTTGTTGTTGACGCTGAAGTGCTTATGACGCAGTAGACTTATTTGGGAACGATAGAGTTGTTTCTTGAACGATAGATTTGTTGGGGAACTTGGTAGACTTAAAAATATGTTGTGGAAGTTTTTTTGTTTTCGACCCTACCAGAGGGTGATTGGTTGACTTTTTACGTTCATTGACTTTGAATGGCAGTAGATTTATTTTTGAACTTGGTAGATTTATTTTCATTTGGTAGACTTAGTATTTGTGGTGGTAGATTTTTGTTAATCCTAGCAGATTTATTTTGTATTTACTTGGTGGTAGAGTTATTTTGTTGATGGTAGAGTTTTAGTGCCAACGAATCCTGGTAGAGTTATTTTGCTGTTGTGGTAGATTTACTTCATTTTCATAGTGGTAGAGTTATATTTTCCATAATTACCATAATAACGTCATTGGTAGATTTATCGTGTTACGTGGTGGTAGACTTCTTATGTGCTGGTAGATAGTTGACTTTTTAACAGATCGTGATTGCGTAGTGGTAGACTTTTCATGTGGTATTGGACGGTGAAGAACGTTGAAATCAAATGTTGATCAGTGGGATGTTGATTTTGGATGTGATAAGAATGCGAATATTGCAGTGAAGAGATTCAACCTCTATAGCGACTGGTGAAAACTCGTTCATAACGTTTGAAAATTTATAGAAAGTACATAGAGAAGAATTTCTTAAAGAAAGTACTTAGAGATGTTCAACGAACGGAGTGCATAGAGATAGATGCAGCGATCCATATTACACAGTAGAAAATAGACGCTATTAAAACTGAAATTTAAGCAGTTGGTACTGAAGAAAAAGGTAGCACTCGTGGCAACACATTAATGGGTGTTTGAACCTGCAGCTTGGAAATTCTTCTACTTTGAAAACATTAGGCAACAGATCTGCAGTAGCTCTCTGTATTCCCATCTTGGTTCGAGAAACCTGTATTTCGACTGTTAAACACTCGTTCATTGCATTAGAAAATTTGATGATCTTAGTGGACACACAAGTTAAAGAAAGTACATACAGAAAGTACTTAGAGATGTTCACTGAACGAAGTAGATCGAGATTGAAGTATCGATCCATATTACACAGTAGAAAGTACACGATATTAGAACTCAAATTTTGGAAAATCTTCTACGCGGAAAACATTTGGCAGCAAACCTTCTTGGTTCACGTTTGTAGGTGGTGTTAAATCCATTATACTGCCAAACCATGTCTCATATGTTTTGACATAACGATTTGGACTCAATGTAAAGATATGTTCTGATTTGGTAGATTTGCTGATAGATTTATGTATGTCTGTGGTATATTTATACATGATTTAGTGGAAGATTTATGCATGCCGTGCTGGTAGATTTATATTTACTAATGTCTTCCTCCTTTGTACATGTCGATTACTAGAAGTTACATCGGGCTCTATGATATATAGAAGCTAAATCGGTGTATCAAACATCACTATAAAATCTATTATACCAAATAAGTTACATATATTAAAAATCTACCACCATAATGAAACATATCTCATACCATAATTAAATCTACCATAACGCTTAACTACTAATAAAATTTATACATCAAATCTACCATCAAGGGAAACCAGAATTTTAATGATCCAAAACCTATTAAAACGGGAAAACAAAAACCCTATGAACAAAAACTGTTGCAAACCGCCGCTACATCCATCTCTGAGAAGATCGGCCACCGGAGAATGCGATGACCATTCACCCATCTGAAACCACCCTCTCGGGGAAGAGATTCACATACTTTTTGAAACCTCCATAGGGAATTCCACCGGAGAAAAAGCAACCAAACATCAGAGAAGATGAAAAAGTCGATCCAGAGACAAGCTCTATCGGCCCTGGATCAACCGCCGCAGATCTGGCCGGAGAGAAGAAAAAAAATATAGAAAGAGAATAGAAAGAAAACAAATGAGTAAAAAAAACAGATTTGACAGAAGAGAGAATGGAAAAGGAGAGATAGGAGGAGAAAGAAGAGAGAAATAAAAAAGATGATCGGAAAAATTAGATATGGTCGGAAAAACCAGATCTGGCCGGAGAGAAGAAAAGAAAAGAGAGAGAAAGAGAGAGAGAGAGAGAAAAAAAGAGAAGGAATATAAATGAGAGAGAAAAAGAAATTAGATTTAACATATATATATATATATATATATTTTTCCATAATAATTAAAAAAAATATTTTTATTTTAAATTTTAAATAATATATTTTTAATTAATAAAATTTCATTTTATTCCTATAATGGCATTTTCATTATTCTATACATGTTTTTGGCTAAATGGTCTTTTACAAATTTATTAAGATTAGTTTGGTAACATGATCATTGTAAAGAGTTATTCTAGTCAATACCCTATTTAGTAAGGTTATTCTAGGTAAATAACTCTAATTTTTTATATTTGTTTTTAAAATGTTTTTTAGTTTTTGTCCTCAAATATAGATTGTTATGTATTAATTATTAAAAAATTCTTTCATATATTTATACAATGCAATAGATATTATATGTGTTCTAACTGTTTATCTGTATTTAATTAGTGTCTGATCTTATTTCTACAGGTTATTTTCATAGATCAACAAAATGAAATCACAATTGACACCTCCTCATTCTAAACTCAACGTTTCTATTTTTTTTTGAGTAAAAATAGTTGATAAGTATTGGTCGTTTTTTCTTCTTTGTATAAATCAAATTTATTTCTATATTATATAATTTAAACATTAAATGATTTTGCTTTAGTTTTAGGGATTCTTGCAAAAATGACCTAAAATTTGATTTGAATTACAAATCTAACCCACAAAAATCACTTTCCCAATATTTGCCATTTTGTGTCCAAACAATCCTTCATAGTTTCAGTTATTCACGAAATTGTCATTATTTTTAATTAATTTCTTTTATTTTCGGAAATCTAAATGACCAACAAATCCTCATCTTCCTCACTTATTTACGAAAATACTCCGAAAGTAGACTTCTCTCGGTCCGAATGAAGTCTACTAGTCAACGCCCAGGTTACTTTTGCAATTGACCGCATGAAAAAGTAGACTTCTTTTGGTCTGAATGAAGTCTACTCAATTTCCTTTGATAACAAAAAAAATAGAGTAGACTTCTCGAGTAGACTTCTTTAGAAGCAGGTCATTTTTGCAATTGACCAACCTTTAACTTTGTAGAGTAGACTTCTCTATGCAAAGTAGACTTCTCCGAGAAGTCTACTTTTGCAAGTAGACTTCTCGCAGGTCATTTTTGCAATTGAAAAATATTTGACTTTTTGGTCAATTGTAAAAATGACCTGCGAGAAGTCTACTTATGGAAGTAGACTTCTCGGAGAAGTCTACTTTTCAGGGTAGACTTCTCGGAGAAGTCTACTTTTGCAAGTAGACTTCTCGCAGGTCATTTTTGCAATTGACCAAAAAGTCAAATATTTTTCAATTGCAAAAATGACCTGCGAGAAGTCTACTTACGGAAGTAGACTTCTCGGAGAAGTCTACTCTGAAAAGTAGACTTCTCCGAGAAGTCTACTTTCGTAAGTAGACTTCTCGCAGGTCATTTTTGCAATTGACCAAAAAGTCAAATATTTTTCAATTGCAAAAATGACCTGCGAGAAGTCTACTTACGAAAGTAGACTTCTCGGAGAAGTCTACTTTTCATAGAGAAGTCTATTAATATTTTGGCAATTGCAAAATTAACCTGCGAGAAGTCTACTTTTATCCGAGAAGTCTACTTTTCTTGTTTTTAAAAAAAAATCATTTTTATACAATATATAACGAATTTTTAAGATTTTCGTGATCCTAAGCTTCTGTTATTAAGTTTTCTTGCTTATGTATAAGTTTTGCATGTTTATATTTTATAGGTATAGTCGAATGAGTTTTCATGTTTTATATGATACTTAGCTTATTAAGAGTAGACTTCTTAGTCTACTGTAGAAGTCTACTATGTAGACTTCATCCGACTTTTAGAGAAGTCTACTTATGCAATTTTGATGTCTAATGTGATTTGGATTTTGTTCTTTTTTCACAGAGAATGGCTCACATACCCGCTGTTTATGAAGAATGGGCTAAGAGTGAATCAGTGTGGCAGTTCGAGGTGGATAATAGCAAAGGAGGGTGAATGTTGTTCTTAAGAAATAGTTGCACACATGGTGAGCTTCTTGGTGAATGTTGGCAAAGGAGGGTGAATAGCAAAGGAGGGCGAATGTTGTCACCTTTAAGTTATGTAAAATTAATGTTTTTAAGAAGTCTACTCGAGACAATGAGAAGTCTACTTCAGAAGTCTACTCGAGACAAGAGAAATCTACTCGGTTGATAAGTTATATGATATAAATGAGAGAAATGTCCCTCTGAATCACTTTTAAGTTATGTAAAATTAATGTCTTTTAGAAGTCTACTCGAGACAGGAGAAGTCTACTCGAGACAAGAGAAGTCTACTCGGTTGACAAGTTATATGATATAAATGAGAGAAATGTCCCTCTGAATCACTTTTAAGTTATGTAAAATTAATGTCTTTTAGAAGTCTACTCGAAACAGGAGAAGTCTACTCGAGACAAGAGAAGTCTACTCGGTTGACAAGTTATATGATATAAATGGGAGAAATGTCCCTCTGAATCACTTAAATTAATGTCTTTAAGAAGTCTACTCGAGACAGGAGAAGTCTATTTTGTAAAATAGATAAACATAGATAATTTAGGAATTTGATACAAAACATTCAATGCAATTCAACATTACATAGAAAATAACCCTCTAAACAAACAAACATTTAAGGATCACTAATTATAAATCTTAAAATTGGCATAAGAAATGACTAGTAAACTAAAATCTCTGAAAACTATGTATGCAACTGAAGTCTACTTGAGAAGTTTGCTCGAGATCGAGAAGTCTACTCGAGAAGTCTGCTCGAGATCGAGAAGTCTACTCGAGAAGTTTACATTCAGATCTGCAAAAAAATCAATAAAATTCAGCTCTGCAACAATAACGAAAAAATTAGATCTAGAACAAAATCTATAAAATTTATACAACAATAAACTCAGATCTACAAATATAAACTTAGATCTACAACAATAAGCTCAAATCTAAACTAATAAGCTCGGATCTATAATAATAATCTACTATATTTATAACATTCAGATCTGTACAAAAATCAACAAAATTCAGCTCTGCAATAATAACAAAAATTAACAAAATCTACAAAATTTACACAACAATAAACTCAGATCTACAAAAATAAACTTAGATCTACAACAATAAGCTCAAATCTATAATAATAATCTCAGATTTGCAATATGAACACAAAGCAAATAAAAAGAGGAACACAAAAGCTCAGATTTGCTTACCACTACCATAACCTGCAAGTGAGAGGAGGTTGAATGCAAGATAGAGAGGATGGAGAGGATATTGATAGCAAGAGATGAAGGAGAAGAAATTCATGGCCAGAGAGAAGGGAGAAGAGAGAGAGAGGTGTTTTTTAGATAGAGAGAGATTTTGTTGTTAATACAATTAGGTTAAACTCTCCTTATATATGTAGGAAAAAATTCGTGTAAGTAGACTTCTCCAAGAAGTCTACTCGAGAAGTCTACTCGAGAAACCGAGAAGTCTACTCGAGAAGTCTCTTAGTATTGATTTTTATCCTAATTTATCTATGATGATTTAAATTGATTATTTTCTGTCAAATTTTATTTTTAATAGGTGTAAAAAGTATATATTTGTTGTTATGTATCTAATTTTTTTTATTAAATTATCTTTTATGATTTTTAAAATTAATTGTAAACATATTATTAAAGAGTAGACTTCTCTGGGATAAAATAGTAATTGAGGTTGACATTTTTTTGTTTGGTCATAAGGGTTAAAGTTGTAATTTCACTACTCCTGTGAGTTATTTTTGTCAAACATGCAATAGGGGGTCTAGTTTTGCATTTCAACTCAAGTTTTGAGTCATATTCAGCAATTCCCCCTTAGTTTTATGCATTATTCTTTTTAAGTTTTTTTTGTACGTTTGATAAATATTCTCCGCAAGTTCTTTTGAAATTATCTTTGTTTATAATATTTGTTTCAATTCAAAATAACATTTAAAAATTTTAGTTTACTGTATAGAGAATTTCTAGTTTTTATAGTATGTTAAATAAGTATTTATTTTCTATTAATGATTGTAATTACTTTAGTTTTATTCATTAATCTTTCTAAATTTTTTTTCTTGATAACTATTCTTTGTAACTTCTCATGTGATCTTTTGTATTTGTTTGCCTTCCAAACTCTTTTTTTACAAATAGAGAACTTCTAATATTTATGGTTTGTAAAATAAGTATTTGTTAAATTAACTAGGTGTTTCCCCGCACCTTGTGCAGAGTTCGATTTCATTTTTAAAAAAATAATAACATTATTTTATTTATAGATAAAAAATTAAATTTTATAATGATTCGAAACCAAACTTAATATATTTAAAAAAAATACAATTTACATGAGTGTATTGTTTTTTGTGACAAAGCAAAATCCAAAATGACCAAAACCAAAAGATCCTTGTTTCATATCAATTTAATGTTAATTAATATATATAGTTTTAAAAGTGTTTAAATGATTTAGAGTTTTTCTTGTGATCGCATAAATCAATTAGGTTAGTCAAAATATTAGTAGATTAAACAGTTAAATTAAAATTAGTTTATTGAAATAATTAGGATTTGTTTTTTATTTATGCTAGTTACTTTTTTTTGTTAACTGAATATTTTTATGATATAAACTCGAATTTGGAAACCTAGATTTAAAAAAATAAAAATCATTTAAAAATCAGATTATATTAATTTATTAATTTTATTAGAGGTAATTAAAGTAAATTCACATACGGGGCAAAAAGTAATCAACCATCATAACTCTCAACTACAGTTCAACTTATTTCTCAATTAATAATATGATATCATATAGAAATCCAAAAATGAATATCCAATATATATATATATAAGTTTATAAAGAAAAGACCAAAATATTTAGAAGCTCATTTTTAAAAATTAAAATTGCTAGAAATAAAGCTGTCTAATTATATTATATGATTAATAACGTCCACGTGAAGAACCAGTCAAAGTTCATGGGTTTCTTAAAATCAGGTTTAGTTTTAGATAAATAAAAGAGATATCTGAAAAACTTGATTGGTAGTAAAGCTACCATACAATTTATACCATTTTAAATAGTTATTAATCATAAAAGTAATATGGAAGACATTACTAACAGTATTACAATCAACTTTTTGTACCATTTTTGCTTACAGCTATTTTTTTTTACAGTTTTCAACTATTTTAAAACTAAAAGATCCAGCTTACCGCTAAAAATCTCGTACCATTTTTTATTATCAAGAAGAGATTGATTTAAGTCATTAGTGCACTGAGATTCAACTTACAAGTAACGCTGAAAATTTCATGACAGGTTTCCGTTCTCTCTTTCACCCCTCTCAATTTTCTCAACTTTTTATTTATTTAAATAATTACTCATTTGAGACCAATTATTTTATATAAATGGTATAGGAATAAAGTGAGTATTAAAAACGGTACTTGAATTCTATTTAAAAATTAAAAATTAAAAAATTAAATATTTTATTAGAATATTTCTAAAATTATTTGATATTTCCCAAAAACTTTCAAAACTTTATGAATTTTTTCCAAAATTTCCTCGAAATTACCCAAAATATACGTCAAATTATAATTTCCCAAATCTGTTAAGAAGTTTTCTAAACCTGTCCTGTTACCAGAATTTTCCATCCTCTTATCGGTAAATTTTCGTCCAGAATCCCAAAATCTTCAAGACTATTTACAAGCACAAGACAGTAAAAGCTTTTTCGTCTATAGTGTATGGCCTGGCACGTTTTTTTGTTTCTAACAAATCATACGTCGCATTTTTTCAAGTTTAATTATTGGGAGGAATTATTAATCCCAACGACCAAAGCCATATTTTAAAACGAGTTCAACGCGGAGTAGGCGGCTGTATTATTATATAAAGAGAAACCAAATTTATATATTTAATTAATTAAACTAAACCCCATTCTGCTCTATTTATAGCACAGTTCTCATCACAAATTATCTAATCAAACAAGGAAAGAAGAGTCATAAAAGAGAAAGAGAGATCAATCATGTCTACTGCTCCAGAATGGATCATGGTTGGAGGAGAAGGTCCTGAGAGTTACAACCAACATTCCTCGTATCAGGTTTTTTTTTGTTTATAATTTTAATTCCCCAGATATGATCTTAATTCTAATTAAGATGTTTTAACAATGTTCCAAGATATAATTAAAACAATATCCTCTCTTTGATTTGGTTTTTACAGAGAGCGTTGTTGGAAGCCGCAAAAGAAAAGATGAAGGAGGCAATCTCAAGCAAACTCAGCCTTGACTTGATCTATGATCGTTTCAGTGTAGCGGATTTTGGCTGCGCGAGTGGACCTAACACTTTTGTGGCGGTCCAGAACATTATAGATGCTGTAGAAGCCAAGTACCATAGAGAAACCGGACAAAATCTGTCGGATAATATCGAGTTCCAAGTCCTCTTCAACGATTTTACCAGCAACGATTTCAACACTCTCTTCCAGGCACTTCCTCGGGGAAGAAAATACTATAGCGCCGGGGTTCCTGGTTCCTTCTTTGAACGTGTTCTTCCTAAGCAGAGTTTCCACATAGGAGTTATCAATTACGCATTTCATTTCACCTCCAAAATCCCTAAAGAGATCACAGACCGCAACTCTCCCTCGTGGAACCGAGACATGCACTGCACCGGGTTCAACCAAGCGGTCAAGAAAGCATATCTTGATCAGTACTCGGCCGACACCAAGAATCTACTAGACGCTAGAGCAGAAGAGCTCGTCCCAGGCGGGTTGATGTTGATTTTGGGATCGTGTTTAAGAGACGGGATTAAGATGTCCGAGACATCTAAAGGAATAATGATGGATTTCATCGGAGATTCTTTGAATGATCTTGCTCAACAGGTTTATATATATTTTATACTTTTTCTTTATCTAAAATAGCCTACAATTACATAACTAACGTTATTTTTGTATTTTTTTTTTATATATTAAAAAAGGGTGTCATCGAGCAAGACAAAGTGGACTCTTTCAGCACTCCACTCTTCCTTGCGGAAGAATGTGAGTTGAGGCAAATTATAGAGGAGAACGGAAAATTCACTATCGAGGCTTTTGAGGATATCATTCACCTAGATGGGGAGTTTGTGGTAGACCCTAAGAACTCGGCCCTCTCCTCCAAGGCTAGCTTTGGAGCATTCCTAACTGCACATTTTGGAGCAGACGCAATGAGCCAAGTCTTTGAACTCGTGGAGGCCAAGATACGAGAAGGCGTGTCTCGCATCATGAATGCCAAACCCGATATGCAATATCTCATCGTGCTTCGCAAGAACTGCTGATCCAAATATATTATAGATTATCTTTCAATGTTAACTTTTGTTTTCAATTGTTGTTTCTTCTCTTCTTTCATCTCATGGTGCTTTGTCTTCATCTTTTTTTATCGTTTTTGTCTTAGAGTCTCTTTGTACACCAGTCCTAAAAATGAATAAATGGTTGTATACATGCAAGTGTTGTTGATGAATGATCATTAGTAGTTATTTCATAAGTTGTGTTGGTATTCTAATTTGGATTTCTCGTATATAGTATGGAAGGTATTCAAAACTATCCACAAATCTCCGTTACTGAACATGTATTTCCAAGCTCTGTCTTGATGGCAACAGAAGTTCTAATGTTGACTTTTGTAGAATTTAAATTTACCAAATCAGTGTTAACTTGAAAATTTAATATATGTACAAGAAAGTTGGAAAATAAATCTGCCAATTACAAATAATTGAAGAATTAAATGAATATTTTTTCCAACAATATTTCGAAAAATAACTGGGTTCATAGTGTCACAAAAATAAAAATCGGGAGTTGAGTCAAATAAATTATGCTTCCATACTCTTAACATTAAAACCAATATATATATATATATATATAATATGTAAGATAAAAAATTATAAAAGTCATCGGCTTCATTAGCGTCCGTGGAAAATATGTACGTGAAACACGGAAAGTTCCTACGTACGTCGTCGAGCGATGTGGAATAATTAAAAAGTTTTTGGAGTTGCAAGTCGTCCTTTTGCAGCATCGGTCAAAATTGGCTTACTTGTTTTCAGTCATTTTCACTGAAAATTCAACAATATATGAATATATAATAAACACGTCACTTGTGCAAATTACTAAGACCAAATTACTCACAAGAATCATCACATTCGCTACAGTAAGAGAGAGAGAGAGAGAAAGATGGCTCCCACGTACACGATGGCCGGAGGCAAGGGTCCGAACAGCTACAGTCAGCACTCAACGTATCAGGTTCGTTATATATATTTTTTCTGGGTCGGTCACAAAAATACTACGAAAAAAAGAATTATGGATCTTGTTGGCTTTTTTATAGAAAAAAATATGAATATAATTCTTTTTATCCGGAGATCTTTATTTTATTATTAAGATCTTCAAATATATATAAAATTTGACGGAAATATAAAAAACCCTATGAAAAGGAGAAATATGAAAAACATACAACCATTATAAGCAATCTTCTACGTCAATCGATGAATAAGATAAAGTGATAAACAATATTTGAAAAAAAAAAACATATGGATCTTGTTAAACGGATATTTAATTTAGATATTTCGGAAAATGTAGAGCATATTGTTTTTCACTGGGATAATTATTGTTTTGTTGGTATATTAATAAATGTTATGATGATTTTTCTTTACCCTTACCGTTTTATATTCAGTTTTGAGTTAATTTGAAGCATTCGAAACTTCGAATCTAATAAACATACTGTCTATCCATGATGGAATTGGATTATTGTAGAGAGCATTACTTGAAGTCGCAAAGGAAAAGATCAATGAAGCTATCTCCACCAAACTCGACATCAACGCAGCTTCCAATCGCTTTAACATAGCAGATTTCGGATGTTCTACTGGACCTAACACTTTTCTTGCAGTACAAAACATAATAGATGCTGTGGAACAAAAGTATCGTAAAGAAACTCAGCCAAAACCGGACGATAACATTGAGTTCCAAGTTCTCTTCAACGATCATACCAACAATGATTTCAACACTCTATTCCAAACGCTCCCTCCGTCCAAGAAATACTTTGCTGCTGGAGTTCCGGGTTCTTTCTTCGGCCGTGTTCTCCCTCGAGACAGCCTCCATGTGGGGCATTGTTCTTACTCACTTCATTGGTTGTCCCAAGTTCCCAAAGGGATCGCGGACGGGAACTCTCCCGCGTGGAACAAGGACATTCATTGCACTGGATTCTCGAAGGAGGTCGCTGAAGCCTACCTTGATCAATTCAAGATCGATATGGGAACTTTCTTGAAAGCAAGAGGAGAAGAACTCGTGTCCGGGGGCTTGCTATTTCTTCTTGGATCATGTCTACCGGATGGAGTTAAAATGTCTGAAACAATGAAAGGAATGCTTCTTGATTTCATGGGAAATTGCCTCCAAGATGTAGCTAAAGAGGTAAAAATATTGTCGCTCATATCCGTCGTCACAAATATCATGTTTTCTTGTAGTGCGCACAGGAACTTTTATCTTTTACATTTTATGACATTTTTGAGTCATTATTTTGCTTAGGGATTAATCGACCAAGAAGAGCTAGACTCTCTCAATTTTCCAATCTATCCGGCACACGTTGCAGAATTCAAGAGTGTCATTAAGGACAACGGGTGTTTCACAATAGAAGCGTTTGAGAAAATTAGTCATGCCAACGAAGAAATGCCTTTGGATCCGGAGTTCTTGGCAACCACAAACAAAGTTACATTTGGAGGAGTTCTTGAGTCACGATTTGGTAAAGAGGCAATGGAGAAGACAATGGAGCGTATTGAGGAGAAGTGTCCAGAGATACTTCCGCAACTTGCGAATGCCAAACCCGGAATGCAATATTTCATTGTGCTTCGTAGGATCTGATTCGTAGATGATCAAATGAAAGATTGTGATGTTTGTTGTTGGCTTGCAGATTTTTTTTGTCAAAATTCTGCTCGTCCGCAAGATTACCAATATGCTACGATGAAACCGAATAATTGATGATAATTATAAAAAAAAATATGTGTAAGAGTCTTTTTTTTTCCTAAATAATTGTTTCATGGACTTCAAAAAATATTTCTAGTACAACTTTGATACTTAAGAATTTCACAATCAAAATACTAATTTTATTCTCCTTTTGTTTGTCATTATTAATGCTATTGTTTTTTATTAAAAAGAAAAAATAATAAAAGTCTTGAAATCTATTTCTTTTAATCAATAATATAGTAAAATGTATCTTTAGAGATCAATGATCCAATAAAATATGAAAGTCACACAGACCAGATAATTAAAATATAGACAAAGCTTGACTGTTTGTTTGGTAGGTAAGACATTTTCTGGGTGACAATAGGTAGAGACTTATTTATAACGTGTTATTTAGATACATAATAACTCCAATCAGGTTTGACCAAAAAAAAAAATGACTCCAATCAGATTTGTACACATGTGACATTTATAGTATAATAATTGTTTAATGTTTCTATAATGTAATTGGAGTTCTTATTTAGACACATAAAAAAGTCCAATCAGATTTGTATACACATATTTATGAAACAGTACCATTTTATAATTTTATTTTTGTTTCACAAAAAATATCATTTTAGATTTTGAATGCAAATTTATAACCAAATATCCAATTTTAACCTTGTTATATTATTATATTAATTAAAAAAAGAGAGTTATTTAGTATATTTATAAGGAATAGAAAAGACTTTTTATTAAATTTCTTAATTTGTATGAAAAGTGTCAAAGTGACACTTATTTTAAACAGAAGAAGTAATTAATAAAAACTCCAGTCACATTTTTTAATAAGAATAGTTAATGAGTAATCCTTTTAATAATTTAACGATGTGTTTAAAAAGGTACACTTATGCAAAAAGCACAGTCAGGCTCGGCCATTGTTGCCTTGCATACTTGATGCGAGGCGATTTCTAATAGACACACGTACTCCAACATGCCTCGTTTCGAAATGTGCTTCGTCTCGCTCCATGCTTCTAAGCGTTTCTAATCCTATTTTAAATTTAGTACTATATTCTATTTTAGAATAAATTCAGTTCTAGTTCTATTTTATTTTTATTCTAAAGTAGAATAATATTATTTTTTATTCCAAAATTGAAATCATCTATTTTTATTTATAAATTGGTCTTTTAAATTTTAAATAGTTGTATTTTAAGACTTATAAATTATTATTCTATTGAAAATTTATTTTTATTGATTAATTATAAATATTAAAAATATTAAAATTTAAATGAAAATAATATATATTTAATACAAAATATAATGACATCAACCATAATAAAATTAAAATTATTCAAAAAGTACTCAAATTAAAAATAACATAAAATATTTTTAGTACAACAATAATTAATGAGTTAATACTCCGATAAATCGCTTTCAGATCCACTGAGATCACCAAAAAATTGAAACAAAAGCTCCACTTCCGGAAGTTGACATAGCCGAAGATGATAATACACGATTCTAAAATTTTCTTGCTCGATTTAAAAAATCAAAGATAAATACGCTTATTTTTCACTTAGAAATACTTTAATTGATCATTTATGAGAAAAAATATTTAAATGAAGATAAATAAATTAAAAGATACTTTGTTTTATCATTTTGATATAGTGTAGTATGTTTTTTAAAGAAATCTGAGGTTGTTGATAAAAAAGAAAAAATAGTATGTTTTTTATATTATAATATTATATTTAAAGTTTATATAATTTATAAAAGTTTTGAAAAATTATTGAATCAATTTGTAAATTTTGAAGAAATCATGGATCAATTAGTAATCTTTATACTTATAAAGCACAAGTCTGTTGACAATTGTCCATCCGACACGTGTTCTTTTGATATTTATTTTTCTAAATTTCTTATTAAAAATAATTATAAATTTTAACTACTCAAACCCCACTATTCCTTAATTCTCGGCTTCATCTTTTTCAAACCCACAATTTCTTTATTTTCGATTTTATCTATTTCAAAATCACGATCTTAACATTTTAGAATTTAAATTATTTATATCTTTGGATCAGTGATAAACAAAAGCCAGTCACGCTTCTTTCTCAGCAAAAATTCCTCATATGCACAAAATCGTTTAGTTTTCATTAGCAATCAAAGATGATTTGTTTTTTTCTGGTAAGCTTTATCTTCTCTCTTGTGTTTTCTTTCCTTATTGTTTTAATCTCTGATTCTATTGTTAATTTATATAATTGACATCATTGTCTTCTATTTTTTTTCATGTCAAACACGATTGCATAGCTTCAGAGTTCAGACTTCAGTCCCTCTTCTCCTTCAAAATCAATTATGACTGAAGACAATAATCAGAACACAAATGATTATCGACCGCAATGATGAAGCACGAGAACAAGACTAATATAGTTTCCAGTTTTTTGAAATCCAACAAAACCATCACATATGTCATTTAGGTATATATTCTGAGATTTGCATGTACGGGTTTCAATTTCAATATCATTTCACATTTTTTTAAAAACTCTTCTTATAACTTTTATGTGGTATAGAAAAAGTTCGTGAAAAACTATGGCAAAGCTTAAGCTTCAATTTCAGTTAGTATAAAACATTCTAAAAAGAAGAATTACCATTTAGAAAGAGCAAAATCCAATGTAACTAATTGTCATTTACTTTTTCTAATTGTAACTAAGCACTGATCTCTTTGTATTTTGTTTTAATTGTAATAAATTGTGTTTGATTTTGTGAAAATACAATTAGAAAAAAAATCAAGCGACACAACCATAGATAGATCTAACAACTTTTTGTTTTGAATTCATATTTTTTCTAAATGACTTTATTATCGTTCTCTTTGTTCATATCAGTTGTAAATCTTTTGTTCTCTATAGCAAGTACATGATAATCTTCTTTCTTCATTTAAATGCTAATAGAAACTCACAAACATCTAAAGTTCAAATCACAACCATAAACGCATTCACATAACAAAAAATGATGCCCGTACGTAGTACGAGGTTCTAGTTAATAATAAAACAGAAAAAGAAATATAATAGGAAATAAAATTATACATTGGAAAGAAATACAATTCTATTTTACAATTATTATATTTGAGATGAAAAATAGAATTATACATTAGAGATGCTCTAAACAAGGTAAATTTCTTTAAAACACATATTTTCTCAATATGTAGTTGCTTTTTCTGTTTCCAAAACAACTTTTTAATTCTTAGGGGGGTTACTGGGAGATGGAGTTATAAAGTTTTCATTGATTTTAAGAATTGAGAGATTTATTAAATTTGTTAAAAATGTTTGTTAAATTTGAAAAGAGTTTGATTATTTAGAAAATCTATGAAAATATTTTATTATAATGCCTTTAAAAATCTAAGCCATATAGGTGATATTTTGAAAGTCTTCCAAAATTTTGTTCTATGAGTTAAATTGTTTAAAATCTATATCCAAATAACACAAGATTTTAATAGAATCATAAAATCTTTAAAACCTAAACTTTTTGAATAACAAAGGATTTTGGATGGAATTTTAAAATCTTTAAAACTAATAACAATGGATTCTAGTAAGATTTTAATAATCAATAAACCAATAATGATAGAACCTCAAAATTCTCAAAATTTACATAAATCCCTCTCTCAATCATGACAGTTTCAAAGAGGCGCTTGAGTTAATTGGTCAATATGGTACGGGTTTTAAGCCACCAACTATGTATGAATTGTGAGTTCCTCTAGTGAAGAAAGAACTCAAGAATACTGAAAATAAGCTGGTGGAGCATAAGACAGAATGTATAACTAAAGGCGGATGGTGTGATTCTGTTGTACAATAAGACATCATTAACTTCGTAGTTAACTCGCCAAGGGGATCAGTTTTCATCAAATCAGTTGATGTTTCAGAGGTTGTGAAAGACTCTAATTTGCAGTTTAATATTCTTGATCGTATGGTGGAGGAATTTGGGGAATCTAATGTAGTCCAAGTGGTAACTGACAACGCTTAAAACTATGTGAAAGTTGGGAAGCTACTAATGGCCAAAAGAACACATCTGTATTAGCTTCCTTGTGCAGCACACTGCATCAATCTCATGTTGGAGGATATAGGAGAAATTCCTTCGGTGAAGTCTATAATAAGGAATTCCATCTTCATGAGTGGCTACTTATACCGTCATACTTCTCTTGTGAATATGATGAAGAGATTCACAAATCAGGGAAATCTGTATAGACCAATATTTACTCGATTTGCTACATAATTTATCACACTTGCACAATATTATAAGAAGAAGAAAAACTTGAAGGTTTTATATGTTCTCAAGATTGGAAAGATTCTAAGTGGCCTAAGGAATCAGAAGCAGTGAGAGTGAAACAGATTATTATGCAAGAAAGCTTTTGGAGGAACTTTTTACATAAAATTAAGCTGACGCCCCCTCTAGTTAAAGTGCTTCAGATGGTTGACGGAGAGAAAAAACCAGTTATGGGGTACATCTATGAAGCAATAGATCAGGATAAAGAGGAGATTGCCAAGACCTTCACTGGCAGAGAAGAAAATTACAAATGTGAATGCATTTGAAATCATTGATAAGCGATGGCATTGTCAACTCCATCAGCCTTTGCATGTTGCCGGCTACTTTCTGAATCCAGAATTTCAGTATAAACCAGAGTCTAGGGTGAATTGTGAAGAGATTGTGTGTGCTCTATATAGCACTATTCAAAGGTTGGTTCTTGAAGTTAAAACTCAAGATGCTGAAGGACTTTTTGGTCACCCATTGTTAAAAAGACAAAGGGAAACAAAAGCACTAGCAGAGTGGTCATCTTTTTATAGACAATCTACTCCATCACTTCAAGATTTTTCCACAAAGATTCTTAGTCTCACATGTAATGCGACTAGTTGTGAGAAAAATTGGAGTTTGTTTCAACATCTCCACATCAAGAAAAGAAATCGTTTGGCTCATATTCGGTTGAATGACATGATGTTTGTAAAGTACAAACGCGCATTGACACGTCGTTACAAGAGGAAAAATACAATCGATCTCATCAGCTTACGAGAAATTATTAATTGTAATGAGTGGCTGGTAGGAAGAATGGATGGAGAGCTTGATGATTA